TATTTATCTCAAGACCAACATCTTATCCTAGCAAGTCACATAGAGTCTGTACTTCATTCTCTTTCTAATCCACCCACTGCTTATCCCAACTGCCACAGTCTAGAACAGGCTGACATCCTGATCCCCTGTCTGGACTACTGGAATGGTCTCTTCATCTCCATGCTCCTGTGCTCACTAGCCTTCAGTTCATTCACACTGTGGAATTCTAAGATAAAAATCGGATCATCATTCTCCTGCTCAGAGTCCTTATGGATTCTCATTATTCTTAAGATATAGGCAAAATTCCTTTCAAGGACACACGATATTTCATTATCTGACCCATGCCTACCTCCACAGCCTCATCTGGTCCCACAGTGAAGCTTGCATCAGCATTCTCCAGAAATGCTGGCCTTGTTAAGTCACAATTTCTTGCCTCCAGATGTTCATGCCTGCCGTCCTTCTGTGTAACATCTTCCCTCTGCCCCCTTTACTTTTACCTGAAACACCCCTGCTTCATGTATATTACATGTCACTGGTTTAGCTACATCTTCCTGTGCCTCCCCAGGTGAGACCTGCTTCTGTGTTTCCACAGCATCCAGTACTCACCCAGCAGCATTCAGTGCCCTTGATTGCTTGTTTATAGCTCAGTTTCCTACCAAACTGTAAACTCCATATGGGTAGGCTGTAAAACCAGCCCAACACTCAAAACTATCCTATAGAACATCATATGACTGGGGAAATGAAGACCTTCAGGTTGTAGGGACGCTAAGGTACCAGCTTATTCACTAGTCTTAACCATTTGGTGCTAGTTTTGACACTTTATTACAAAATTCTGAGATAAACTTCAGACCTATGGAAAATGTTAAGACCATCCAACCACGCTACTCTTTATTTTAAAAAGACAGCCCAGGCCGGGCACAGTGGCTCACGCCTGTAATCCCAGCACTTTGGGAGGCCAAAGTGGGTGGATCATGAGGTCAGGAGTTCAAGACCAGGATGACCAACATCGTGAAACCCCGCCTCTACTAAAACTACAAAAAAATATTAGCCAGGCATGGTGGTGCACGCCTATAATCCCAGCTACTCAGGAGGCTGAGGCAGGAGAATCACTTGAATCCAGGAAGCAGAGGTTGCAGTTAGCCTAGATGGCACCACTGCACTCCAGCCTGGGCAACAGACTCTGTCTCAAAAAAAAAAAAAAAAAAGACAACCCATTATGCATGTTCACACTGTCATTTTGGTTTTGGTGTCAATGTCCACGTGGTTCAGTTATGTTGACATGAAGAAATGTGTCTGAACGTTTGTATAATTCAGAGAGAAAGGGAATGAATATACCTACCCTTGTGACCTCGCTGTACATCCTGTCCAGATATCCATACCTCAAAATGCCTCTGAGCTAAGAAAGCTGAAGGGTGTTAAGGTATATGAGAAATTCCTTCCTGAAAGGGACGTAGCTGAGTCTAACTGCTGGGATTTTCACCCTGCTGATGCTTAATCTAGCCACATTAATAGTTTTTCACATTTGGACATAATGTGCTAGTACTGTAGTAGGGAAATGGCATCAAGTGAAGTTTCCTATGCCTGTTTTCTCAGAAGTCTGCCTCCTCGGGAAATGAGTGGGACCAATCTCTGGTGTCAAGGATCTTATTAGAAATGTCAAACCACAGGGACATCACTTGCCAATACTGAATTTCAGCAGCTCCCTCAATAATGCCTCTCATCTTCTTCACCTGGTAAATCTATAGTTCTCAGTCTGGACTGCATAGAAGAATCACAAAGGTCGCTGCTTCTAAAACTTTAATTTACATACAAACCACCTGGTGGTCTTGTTAAATGCTGATTTTGATTCAATGGGCCTGGTGTAAGGCCTAATTAACATTTTGAAAGTTAAAATTTTACATTTGGTGATGCCAATTCTGCTGTTCTGTGGACCACACTGAGTAGTAAGGACATATAATACATTTTAAAAATACAGATTACAGCAGCGATACATGTAATCAGAATTTCAGGGAGGGGGTCTTAAGTAAGCTCCTTAAGTAATTAAAATACATAGCCGAGGGAGTGAAATCTCTGCATTAAATGCCTATCTCATAGATATGTCACTATGGTGAAATGATACAATCCTGTAAGAGAGTACATTGCATAGTATTAATGGACGCTATCATTAATGAAAAGATACTAAATTGTGAACATTAAATCAAAGAATTTCTGGAACGTAGGAGAGTCTCGAAAGGCAGAGAGGTGAAAGGCAGAAAAGGAAAGTTATCATATCTGAAAAACTATCCTATAAAACATCATACAACCGGGGAAATGAAGACCCTCAGGTTGTAGGGACACTAAGGTACCGGCTTATTTACCCTCCTGCCCAACTTACTGCATCTGAGGTTAACTCCAGGGCCCTGATCCAAAAATCCTCCTCCCCTGTATTCGTTGTAAGCATATGACGTAATCGCCTTTATAGTCATCACCTGTGTCTATAGCCACCCTTCTCACTTCTCCCTTCCTACCTATCCCTGGCCCTAGGGGTCTGTGCATCCCAGAGGAGTCCAGATCCTGGAAGAACTCATTACAAACAAAGCAATTACACAGCGCCTCTCTAGAACAAATTATCTTAGAGTCTTGCAACAGTGACTGATTACAGTTGCTGATCACATCTTACTACACTTTGGGGGATCATGAGAATGGAGAGCTCAGAGATGGGTGCTTAATCATTGTGTGCTTAGGGAATGGAGAGTACACCTGTGAGGCTAAGGCCTACATATTGAGAAGTGAATAAAAATGGTTGGAGAAGTCGTAAAAGTAAGCAGGGACCAGTCCGTAAATGTCCTAAAATATCTGAAGGGCGTTAAGAGTTTAAGCTTTATCCTGTAGACAACAAGCCATCAGTGGTCTTTGAATAGAGGACAACTGTGGGAGGACGTATGTTTTGGAAATATTTGCAGGTGGCAGAATCTCTCACTATAACCCAAATGGGCCCAGCAAATAGGCCCTAGGAGAGAGAAATACCGTAACCAACAAGGATCAGACTTCCATGACCCAACCATAAACAGATACAGAGAAAGGACAGGAGTAAGAGAAAAGATGAACTCTCAGATCACATTCAATTTTTCCTCGGGCCAATACGGAAGAGCAAATCTAGATCTGCAGCCCTCTGAGTGACTTCTAGCTCCTTACCTCTCTAGGAAAACCTTAATCACCAGACGCCATCATTATCCCAACCACTCTCCACGTGTCAAGTCACCTCCTCGTACTAGCTTTTCCTTACCCGACAACTGACGTTTACAACTCCTTCTTCCACACCGAGTCCGTGTTCCCTTCTTCTTAACTGCAGCTAGATTCACTCTTCCTTCCTTGTGAGCCTGCATCCTCAGGGTTATTGCTTTTCTCGGGTTGCTATAACAGTGTTTCATTAACCTTTACTGACATCCAAAAGAACCTTCTGCTTACCAGATGTGGTCTTCCATTTCCTCATTATGCAGAGAAACACAGTTTTCCACTGTTAACTGGGATTGAAGTACCACAGGCAGCACAGTAAACCCCTTTCTGCCTATCGACTCAGAAACATAAAGAACCAAAATTGCCAAATGGCAGTCTCAACTTTCGGCAGAACGGAACCGACGAAGCACTTCTGGTGAAAGCACTCCTCCCTTTAGAAGCGTACCAGACACTTCCTGTGCACAATGTCAGATGCTCTCAGCCATCTTCTTATTCCAGCCACAGCTGCAGTAACCAACTCTGCCCAGACTTCGACCAGCTTCACATAGATTCAGTCTGACAGTATTACCTCAGGCCCATTCCATCTGCTTCTTGAGTCCTGCCATATGGTTTCTCTGATCACATGGAGTGGAGTATCATGGAAAACCAGCCCAATACTCACACATACCCAACCAGAAAGTGGAAGAGAGTTGTTGCTGTGTTGGTCACCCCTTACGTACAGGTGCTGGGAGCTTATGCATATATGCCTTAGGTCCTCCTTGTGGCTGCCAACCCATTAAGCCGTCCTAGTAACTGGTCTTCCTCCTTCCCTACTTAACACCCCCACTATTGCTTACTTCTTCACATGAACTAAAATTCTCAAACTACTTACAAATAAGACTTTTTCTCTGTCTCTACTTTTTGGGTAACTAAAGCTATGATAGAAAGTAAGATCTGTAAATCAACAGAGCCCAAAATTGTGGGGGTAGGAAGCAAAAGTTCTGTGGGTACGTTAGTTGGTCTAATAATGAGGAAAGTCAACCCTGCTACCATTCCTTGATTTCCAGACTTATGAATCATGGCTGTGGGAGAAACATGATGATATATGCGCTCCTGGTTCAAAGCACACCAACCTTTCTGGTACCCCTAATTTTTGTTGCTTTGTGAACTGCTTTGTCTCTAGCATTTGCAACAATGCCTGGCACAAAGCAGATTTGCATTAAATATTTGAATTAAATGAACCACACAGACTAGGAGTTCCAGAACAATGCTTAGTAACAGTACTGACAGTGGGCAGACTTGTCTTTTTCCTGACAGTGCAAATACCTCTAGTATTCCCCCTTAAGCCTGATGCTGGCTTTTAAGCTAACTCAGATGTATTAATTATTAGCCCATATTAAATAAGCATGATCTATTCCTCTTATAGTGAGCACTGTTATCTAGGATAGTTGTGAAATTTAAGCAAATAGATGGGTTTTTTTTTTGGTTTTTTTTTTTTGAGACGGAGTTTCGCTCTTGTCACCCAGGCTGGAGTGCAATGGCGCGATCTCGGCTCACCGCAACCTCTGCCTCCTGGGCTCAGGCAATTCTCCTGCCTCAGCCTCCTAAGTAGCTGGGATTACAGGCACGCGCCACCACGCCCAGCTAGTTTTTTGTATTTTTAGTAGAGACGGGGTTTCACTATGTTGACCAGGATGGTCTCGATCTCTCGACCTCGTGATCCACCCGCCTTGGCCTCCCAAAGTGCTGGGATTACAGGCTGAGCCACCGCGCCCGGCCGCAAATAGATCGTTTTAATAAAAACATTAAAATTGTGCTTCAAAAACTCCACATTTAAGAGGATTCAAATACTTTAATTCAACAAGTGAAATACAGGAAAACAGTAGCTATAAAACTATGGAGATGGTAAATTAAGCAATAACAGAAAACTGCTATAATTTATGCTATTTAAACTTCCTTTTATCCCTACTTAAGTTTCATTCATTACATTAACATAATACTGCATCTCAACATCTGCAATTTTGACAAATGCCTGGAAAGTTTTTTGTTCAGAAACAGATGCCGGTCTGACAGAAACACATTTGAAAATGTTCTTTTTCTGGTCATAGTTGCCAATACATCTATGAACTCGGCCTCTAATCAGTCTTGGAAGTTCACGATCCTGTTTTTCAAAATATAAATATAAAAAAATTAATTATTACTTCCTTTGAATTTCAATTTTTTAAAATATTGATACAATCAACTAAACATGTATCACCTCAAAATGCTGCAATTCTTTCACGTGAGTCAGGGCCCCAATGTTGACAGGACTCTGATAGTCATTCACATATTGGTGCCCTGTAGCAGAGGAGAGACCCTCACTTGGTAGGCTAGCAAGTTGTTGCTTCTTCAAAGACTGAATAATTCCCAGGGTAACAACACATCAATTACCCACTCTTATATTGGATTCTCAGAGTTCCACTTTCAGTAGGCAGCAGACTGGGTGATTCAAAACAGCTCATCAGATAAGAGCAATTAGAATAACTGGATGAACTGTTTTGTTAAAAATCTCCCAGCTGGGCATGGTGGCTCACGCCTGTAATCCCAGTACTTTGGGAGGCCGAGGTGGGTGGACTATGAGGTCAAGAGATCAAGACCATCCTGGCCAACATGGTGAAACCCCGTCTCTACTAGAAACACAAAAAACACAAAAATTAGCCAGGCGTGGTAGCACACGCCTCTGGTCCCCGCTACTCAGGAGGCTGAGGAGGAAGAATCTCTTGAACCCTGTGGGCAGCAATAGCCGCCATTTTGTGATCTACTCAGCCATGTTGTGGTTTGCATAAGTTTCAGTTTAATGTTTCCTGTTGACAAGTTTCAGTTTAATGTTTCCTGCTGATAAGTTTCAGTTTCTGTAGTCCCCCCCTCCCAATAAGTTTCAGTAATGTTTCAGTTTCTGTTTCCTGCTGTTAAGTTTCAGTTTCCTGAAACTTACATAAAACTGAAACTTACATAGGCCGGAATTTCGGAATTTCCCAATGGCAAGCTACCCTTGCCCCGCCTTTCTGCCTGCGCCTATTTAAGCTGTGAGCTTAGCAACAATAAACGAGACTTGATCAGACTCCTGTCTTGTCTCCATTCTTCGCATCTCCTGTTCCCATCCATCCCCACGCCCTCCCTTCGAGCTCCTGTTGTTGTCCTGCAGGTCGGGACAGAACCCAGGAGGTGGAGGTTGCAGTGAGCAGAGATTGCACCACTGTACTCCAGCCTGGCAACAGAGCAAGACTCTGTCTCCAAAAAAAAAAAAAAAAAAAAAATCTCCTTGTGGCCAGGCATGGTGGCACTAACACCTGTAATCCCAGCACTTTGGAAGGCCAAGGTGGGCGGATCATGAGGTCAGGAGATTGAGACCATCCTGGCCAACATGATGAAACCCATCTCTACTAAAAATACAAAAATTAGCTGGGTGTGGTGCTGCCCACCCGTAATCCCAGCTACTTGGGAGGCTGAGGCAGGAGAATCACTTGAACCTGGGAGGCGGAGGTTGCAGTGAGGAAGATTGTGCCACTGCACTCCAGCCTGGCGACAGAGCAAGACTCCATCTCAAAAAAAAAAAAAAGAAAGAAAAAAAAATCCTCATAAGCATCAGAGAGATATCAAAACAGTGAAGAATTACAGAGACCCCCCTCCATCTAGAAGAGTATGGGACTCTCAGATGAAACCTGATTTGTAGGGTGCTTTCTCCCTGAGATATCTGCAAATTACAGAAAGGCAGTTGAGATTCTAAGAAACTGAGCAGAGCTTTCAGACTTGTATATGTGGAGAACAAGTCTGAGGCTCCCAAAGAAAAGAGATTCTAGTAACCACGCCAACTCTGACCCAAGACTTACAGTTGGTACTCAAAAGTGCTATCTATGTCTTTAGAGACAAGTAAATCAGAAAAAGACTAGCAATCTCCAAGTCCTCTCAATTATGAATAAAATTAAAGCATTCTGAATTGCTTTCATTAAATAGTCACAAAAGGCACTAATTATAAGGGAAAAGACTGATGATTGATAAAAGGACTGTATTAAAATGAAAAACTTCTGTTTATCAAAAGCCATCATTAAGTGTGTAAAAGTGAACCACATATGTGAGAAAATATTTGCAATGCACATTATGGACAGAAAACTTATTCCCAGAATAGTTAAAAAAAATTCCTAGAATCAGTAAGAAAAGGACAAATAACTCAATAGAAAAAACAGCAAGATGCCCAAACAGACTTCACAAAAGAAGACATCCAAATAGCATATGAAAAGGTATTTAATCTCATTACTCCCCAGAGAATTGTAAAGAAATAACACTAAACTTACTCACCAGAATAATTATAATAAAAAAGACTGACAATAGTAAGCATTGGTAAGAATACAAAGAAACAACTCTCTTACATTGCCTGTGAGTATTTAAATTGACACAATCCTCTGAAAAATTCTTTGACAATAACTACTATATTTGAATATACACGTGATCTATGACCCAGCAATTTTACTTCTTGGTATATATAAAACAAAAATACATGCAAATGCATAAAAGACATAGATAAGAATGTTCATAGAACATTATGTATAACAGCAAAAATCCAGAAACCCAAATCCCCACCAACAGTGAAATAGAAAACTATGGTATATTCATGCAACACAGTATTTTACACAGCAATATAAATGAGTGAACTATAACTACACACAACATAGATGAATTTTACAAACATTGTGTCAAGTAAAGGAAATCAATTTTTTTTTTGCCCTCTGGCATTCCTGGGCCCTCTCCCCCGACTCAAATATTTTAAAAGACATACTATATGATATTATTTCTATAAAGTTCAAAACAGAATTGATGACATTAAAAGCCAGGCTAGTGGTTGGTTACTTGTAGGTAGAAGACAAGAGGTAGTGAACAGGAAGAGGCACAAGGGGGTTTGGGGTGATGGCAATGTTCTATTTCTTAACCTGGGTAGCATTCACTTTGTGATACTTCCTAGAACTGTACAGTTATGATTTTTATACTTTTTTGTAAATGTTATACTTCAATAACAAAGTTTTTTAAAAAAATCAGACTAGATAAAAATAATACTCATTCAAAATATTATAGGAATTGACATGACAATTATTTCTTGATCACCTACTATGTGTCATGCACTGTATATTCATGTCTCATCATTTAATCTCCATAACAACCTTTTAAAGTAGGAATTTGTTTCCCCATTTTATAGATTTATTTTTTAATCTGAAATTCAAGTAATTTAAGCAGGTTACTTAAGGTCATAAAACCAGTAAATGCTGGAGTAAATGCTAGAATCCAAGTCTGATTTCAGAATTGAGGACAATATCGGAACTAAGGTTAAACTTTTACAAAGCATGTAGCTCTATACAGCCTCAATGTATGTAGGTCTACAGCCTCCTTTGCAATTTCCAGACTTCTGTGTCACCAAGCCAATACTTTCAGTTCCCTAAACAAGTGAAGCTCTCTCTTAGCTTCATGTCTTTGCATATGCTGCTCCCTCACGTTAGACTACATCCTTCTTTCCCTCCCCAACACATTTGGCTGAGTTGATTCTTATTAGTCCTTAAAGATCTAGGATAAGTTACCACCTTTTTAAAAAATCTTTCCCTGATCTGCCCCATCTTTCTTACCTACTTCTTTAGCATGCTGCACATACCTAGCTCCACCATGCCATTCACCATACCACAGTGTAACATTTCTGTACCAGTCTCACAAACTCTTTGGGAGAAAGAGCCATTTACCATTTATATGCCCCTTTATATCCCTCGCTTCTAGCACAGTACCTGGCACATAGAAGGCTCTTCATATTATACAAATAAATAACTTTCATATCAGAACTAAACCAAAGTGTTGAAAGTACTAAATTGTTAACAGAATTTCTATTTCGACTGAATTGTAGCCTGCACTTTTATATTTTGTTGACATAGGCTTTGCGAAGAATACTTTAAAAATACTCACAATTTCATAAAATACACAAGGCAGAGTATTTTTCCCATCCCTCAGAAGAAAAGTCTTTGAATAATATGGGCCAGGTGTAACAGCCGAATCAAGAACAGCTAAGCAATATTGAAATGGGGGAAAAAATAAATGTTGGTAAATTGCAAATAAAATTTAACAAAGTTGATGTTTAAATAACTATTCATATTATGTATAGTTCTTTTTATACAGTAATAATAAAGAAGACATTTTAAGAAGGGAAGATATTTCTCAGACAGTTTTATATGAAGGAAAACAAAACTTCTGAATTTCTCCAACTTAGGAACAGACCATCTACCAAGCTCATACAATTGACAAGAAATGCCCATCTGAAACTTTTTCCTTAGAATGTGCAGTATAGAGTGGTTAAATCCCCAGAACAGTCTACAATATTATAATAATAAAATGGACAGGTATAACAAATAAGCATCATAATTTAATGAAAAAAGAAACATCGAATTAGAATCAGGAGTCAGGTGTTCAAGTCCTAGGTCCTTCAACTTACTAATATTTTGTGACTTTGAGCAAACTGAGTTTTTTTTTTTTTTTTGAGACGGAGTTTCGCTCTTGTTACCCAGGCTGGAGTGCAATGGCGCGATCTCGGCTCACCGCAACCTCCGCCTCCTGGGTTCAGGCAATTCTCCTGCCTCAGCCTCCTGAGTAGCTGGGATTACAGGCACGCGCCACCATGCCTAGCTAATTTTTTGTATTTTTAGTAGAGACGGGGTTTCACCGTGTTGACCAGGATGGTCTCGATATCTTGACCTCGTGATCCACCCACCTCAGCCTCCCAAAGTGCTGGGATTACAGGCTTGAGCCACCGCGTCCCGGCTTCGCAAACTGAGTTTTTAATTTATTTTCATTACACACATTTAAGGTATACAACATATTTTCATATATATATATATAAAATAATTCCTACAGCAAGCAAATTAACATACGCACCACTGTCCATAGTTATGCTTTTTGTGTGTAGTAAGAGCCTCTGAAATCTACTTTCTTAGCAAACTTTTAATATACAATACAGTAATATTAACTATAGACCTCCTCTGTGCATTAAGTCTCTAGACTTATTCATCCTACATTGTAAGTTTGTACCCTTTGACCTACATCTCCCTATTCCCTCCTCGAGTAAATTGTTTAACCACTTTCAAAACGATTTCTTCACCTATAAAATGCAAATTGTAATTCATGTTTATCTCAAGAAACTATTATCAAATGACAGCATTATTCATTTATTTAATAACCATCTACTGAGTTATTTGGAGGCTGGCCTCCATTTCTTCTAAAAAAAGATCCAGTTATCCTTTAGGAAAATTACATTTTTAGCCACATTATTTGGATAGGATTTGTCCCCATCCTCAGATCCAGGAGTGAACTGTGAGTGACTTCATTCAATCAGCATATTTTATTACTCAACTACACAGTTCAGGGTTTCCATGCTGGGTGTGTTACATTCAGAAATGACTATATGCAAAGACTCATTTGTCAATTTCTAGGAAAGAGCAACCAGAAGAAAAACCTAAGAATGTGATAGTGTGGCATAAGAATGCATAGTCTAAAGAAATTTAATAATCAGCTTGCTACCATAAGGGGAGAGTCAGAAGCTTCTGGAGAGACTATAGGGTGGAGCCTTAAGATAGAGCCAACACTATGACTGGCCAGAAAGATGGAGAGAAGTCACTGTGCCATCTCTTCAGCAACTAGATCAAGCTTTGCCTAAAGTAAAAAACCCAGCTGCTTTTCAGTTTCATGAATAATTCTCTATTATTGTTGAAAAGCCACTAAAGTTGTTTTTTGGGGGGAAGGTGGAGGGGGAGCCTTGCAACTGAAAAGGACCTCCTATATACTGTGCAGTGTGCTAGACATTAAAGTCTAACAAAAAGGAAGTACCTACCTTAGGTAAGTTTGGAGTCTAGCCTAGAACTCAGGCTTATTAAAGCACTGTGAAAGCTAACCATCACATATAAAAGCATGGAATCCCCTCATTTCCTGGTAAGAATGTCTACTGCTGTTTATATTGGGTATTGTGATATTTTTAAAAGGATGATTCTGGAGTGAACCTGAACAATTCACCAAAGAGAACCTGGGGAAATGAATGGAATTAGCACATCCTTCTAATAGGCTCAGGCTATTTCTAATATTTCTACTCTGCAAATGAAGTGAGAGCCAAAGGCATCCTTCACACAGGAAAAAGCAATTTAGTGGGAAGTCCAACAGGGTTTAAGATATTTGAAATAGACGTTCTACCTCCAACAGTATTCTAGTTCTGACAGAAAACAGACATGAAACAGAAAACCATCTGCTATTGCAGTTATATAGCTACCAGTAAGAACTGAACAAAGTAAGAGCTAAGACAAGCTTCAATGTAGAGTAGTAACAGCCACACCAACCAGCTCAGAAACATGATTCAGGCAAAATGAGGACGTGATGAAGAATCCCTGAAGTATATGGGAGTTCCAGAGGCCAGAGGCATGGAAACCTCTAAAAAGCCAAAAGTGAAAACTGAACAAAACCAGCCCAGCCAACACCTTGATTTTGGCACTGTGATATCCTGAATACAGAACACAGTCAAACCCACATGGACTTCTGATCTACAAAACTTGAGTTAGACGTGGGTGTGGTTTTTAGCTGCTAAGTTTCCATTAATTTGTTAAGCAGCAATTGAAAACTAATACAGTGTGTTTACTCAGAGTCTGAGTCTCTATTGAATCCAATGTCACTTTATATAATAAAGCTTTTTCCTTAATGGTAACAAGAGAGAAACTGGAATCATTTTTAGGTGAAAGTTCAACATGTGCAATGAATGCATGGATGGAAATCTGAGACACTGATCACTACTTGCTGAGGTCTGTCGGGCAGAACTTGACTCAGTGATGTATAGATGAAATACACTTATACACTTAGTACTGTCATTTGAGTGGGCTAGGGATGGTCATCAGCTGCCTTTAGAGGGCAACTGCAGCTAACTGACCACTACTCCTTATATATACACATTTATATTTACATTTATATATAAACATAAGGAAAAGGAGGCTGTATCTTTCCTGTTGCTGCTATAACAAATTACCACAAACTTAGTGGCTGGCTTAAAACAACACAAAAGCATTATTTTAATAGTTATGGAGGTCAGAAGTCTATAATGAGTCATCAGAGCTATGTTCCTTTTGGAGGCTCTAGACTAGCATCTGCTCCCTTAACTTTTCCAGCTTCTAGAAGATGCCTGCATTCTTTGGCTCATGGCCCCTTCCACCATCTTCAAAGCCAGCAAGGCAGCATCTTTCTATCTCTCTGACTCTGACCTTGATGCTTTCTTGTATAAGGGACCCTTGTGGTTACACTTAACCCAACCAAGTAATACAAGATAATCTTCCCATTTCAAGATCCCTAACTTAATTACATCCGCAAAGTCCCTTCTGCCATATAAGGCAGCATTCACAAATTTTGGTAGTTATAATCTAGACATGTTTAGGGGGCATTATTCTATCTACCACAGGGACTATTACTAAAACCTCAGTTCGCTGAATATACTTTAGGGAGGAGCAAAAATCAGACTGTTTTATTTGGAAGAAAAAGGACTAATCAGACATTAAAACTTGTTGTCCAAATAGTATTACTGAAGTATTTTTGAAGTATTTTACCTACCTAATACTTCAAAAAGAAGTACACTTTTCTGTGCATGTTCACGCCAGTACTTCATGCTTTCAATAACTGCAGAAATAATTCTTAAAGAATTGTCTTTTTCCTTAAACTGTACCTGATACAATGAGGTTTCCTTTTGAAAAAATAAAAAACATAGCATTAGAAAAATATTTCTTTTTTCATCATACTCATTTATTTTCTCTGTAAAAATTCTAAGTCCTTACAATGGACAAATGTGTAAAAAGAACTACTGAAAATTTTAGTTACCCCCCTAATTAACGCCATCATTACTCTACTGGAGGAGGAGAAACCAGGGTGCACTTGGAGACAATTAATCAAGAGGAGAATTATTTACATGGGCACTTGTTCACTCATTCATTCACTGAATATTTTAAAGCATCATATGCCAGATCCTGTGACAAATATAGGTAAGGCCATTCCTCTCCCTAATGCACTCACACTCTAGGGAAGGAGCCAGCAGCCATTCATATCCTCTAAGAAAATATTCCGGAAACCAACATTCACCCACTTCAATGGAACTGAACATTTATGCTAATCAAGTAATGTATGTCATGGAATTGATTTCAGATGCCCTTATCTCTGTAAATTTCTAAATATTTACCTCACATTAAAAAAAATGTGAATAGGTCATTAATTGATATTTAAACATTTACCTTCAGAGCATTTTCTTCTGGAAAATCATCCAACATTTGTTTCTTATATTGATTTTGTTGAAAATTGGGCTTAAATGTCTGTAATGCACTGTTTTTGTCTAGACCTCTCATTGTGGAACCAGATATTTTTAATGAATGTGTTTGTCTAGGTAGCTCGGTTTCTTTGTTGCGAGATAAGTTAGGAGGTTCAGGTATTCTTAATTGTTTTTGTTGCTGAGCTCCCAAACTCATTGGACAGGATTTTTTTCCATCATTTGCCACTAAGTTTGTTCGTTTACATTGAGGTCTAAAATCATTTTTATTCCAAGTTTTCAAGCTGGTAGTTTTGTTACCATCTTTGAAGCTGTAATAGTGAGAAAAAAAAGAGAGAGAGAGAGAATTTGTTTCTATAAGGTTTCTTAATTATTAAAAAAAAATAATTAATTTGTATGGCAATTTATGATATAGAAAGCACTTTATAACTACTAACTACTTAGAAATTCCAAATACATCACAACAACCCTACAATATATTATTATCTCTATTTCTAGATGAGAAGACTGATTCCTAATGAGGAATTAACTTGCCCGAAGTCATACAGCAAATTACTCACAAGTCTAGAGCCCGCGAAATACAAGATGTCCCAACTCAGAGTCTAGTACTACAAAGTATATTTTTAAATAATAGCATCCTTTTTACCATCCAAGTGGTAAGATTTTGAGGGCATTTGCATACTTCTTTATATATTCAATTTTAAATTTTCTACAAAGTAAAATTTAAGAAGTTAAACTGTGGCTTATCAATTATTTTAAATCACGAGAAGAATACATATAGGTAGGATGCAGAGTTATTAATATTTGATTAGAAATTTTGTGCTTTTACTATGTAGCTTAAAAGCCCTATAATGAATTAAGTGCAGCATTTGCCAGCAACATTAAGTGTGTTATATCAGCTGACCAGAACATTATGTTAGATGCGAATGAGGCCAAAATCAAAAGCATAATTGCTGAGCAGGCTAGTTAGGAGTTCCACAGGAAGTAAAACTAGTCCAAGTCACAAATTCTTTTTTTGTTTGTTTTTTCTCAGAGACAGGGTCTCGCTCTGTCACCTGGGCTGGAATGTAATGGCGAGAACACAGCTCACTCTAGCTTCAATCTCCCAGGCTCAAGTGATCCTCTTGCCTCAGCCTCCTGAGTAGCTGGAACAGGTGAGTGCCACTATGCCCAGCCAATTTTTGTTAATTTTTTTATAGAGACAATGTTTCACCATGTTGCCCAGGCTGGCCTCAAACTCCTGGGCTCAAGTGATCCACCTCCTTGGCCTCCCAAAGTGCTGGGACTACAGGTATAAGCTACCATTCCCAGCCCACAAATTCTTAATTCTCAATAATTTTCCTGGAAATGCAAGTATCACAAGAGGGCAACCAATACAATCCATCCTTTATTTAGGTAAATAATCCAAAAGAGGTCTAGGTATACTACTGAGCAGGAACAAATTCAAATTTTATGAGGCCTGAAGCTTGTACAATTTAGGAAACACTGTTAATTGGGTATAAAGTTAGTACAAAATAATAAGAAAGCATAATTACAACAATTTAAGTTATAAACACCACAAACATCACAGTACTCAGAAAAAATATTACTAGAATTATTAAAATTAACTGCCTGATACCCTTTTATAGGAATTTTTCCTACATTGATCACTTCTTCATATGACAATAATTTTATAATATTTTTTGGATTCATGATCTCATTATGTTGCCCAGGTCAGTCTCAAACTCATGGGCATAAGTGATTCTCCTGCCTTGACCTTCAGAATAGCTGGCACTGCAGACATGTACCACCAAACCCAACACTTTTGTAATTTTATTTTCAATAAAGAGAACAGAAACACAGTTTTGTCTTTCCTCTCTCTCACGGTTATAGAAATTACTTTTATTATTCATGGTCTAGAAAAATTTATTTCAGCTTTATAACTCTATTGGTAACAGCACATTTGTAGTAATATCAAAAATCACTGATCACAGATCATAAAAGATATAATAATAATGAAAAAGTTTGAAATATTGCAAGAAATACCAAAATGTGACATAGAATCATGAAGTGAGCACATGCTGTTGGAAAAATAGCACCAATAGACTTGCTCAATGCAGGGTTACCACGAACCTTCAACTTGTAAAAGTGCACTATCCGTGAAGTGCAAAAAAGTGCAATATGATGCGGTATGTGTATATAAAGAGGATTTGACTGGATTAGAGATCCAACTATATGCTGTCTACAATCAACTCAGTTTAGATTCACAAGACACATAAAAGCTTAGAATAAAAGGATGGAAAAAGATATTCCATGCAAACGGCAACCAAAAGTAAACAGAGGTGGCTGAGTTTATGTCAGACAAAATAGACTTTAAGTTAAAAGTTGTCTCTAAAGACAAAGAAGGTCATTATATAATGAAAGTGGGTAAATTCAGTAGGAAGATATAAAAATTGTAAATATATACACATCCAGTATCAGAGCTCCTAAGTACATAAAGCAAATATTGACAAACATAAAAGAAAAATTGACAGCAATATAATAATAGAAAGAACGCTCAATACTCTACTTTTAATAATAAATAAATCATCCAGACAGAAAAATCAATAAACAGTGACCTTGAATAACACTATGGATCAAACGGACCCAAAAGACATACACAGAATTTGCCACCCAACAGCAGAAGACTATACATTCTTCTCAAGAACAGATGAAACTTTCTCCAGGATAAGTACCATGTTAGGTAACAAAATCAGACTTAACAAATTTAAGACGATCAAAATCATACCAAGTATCTTTTCTGACCATAGTGGTATAAAACTGGAAATGAATAACAGCTAGAAAATGGAAAAATTCACAAATATAACAACACACTCTTGAACAATGATTGATCAAAGAGGGAATTTAAAAAGAAAATTTTTAAATTATCTTGAGACAGAAACAAAACACAGCATACCAAAACTTATGGGAAAGCAAAAGCAGTGCTAAGGGAAGTTTATAGAAATAACTGCCGAAGTGGAAATAAAAAGATCTCAAATAAACATCCTACCTTCACACCTAAAGGAATTAGAAAAACAGAACAAACTAAGCCCAAAATAAGCAGATAAAGGAAATAAGACAACTAGAATAGAAATAAAATAGAGAATAGGAAAAAAACAAACAAAAAAAAACAAGAAAAAAAAAACAAAAGTAAAACTAAGCTGGGCACAGTAGCTCACACTGTAATCCCAGCATTTGGGAGGCCAAGGCAGGTGAATCACCTGAGGTCAGGATTTTGAGACCAGCCTGTCAAACATGGTGAAACCTCGTCTCCACTAAAAAATACAAAAATTATCCCGGCGTCATGGTGGGTGCCTGTAATCCCACCTACTCGGGAGACTGAGGCAGGATAATCACTTGAACCCTGGCAGGAGGAGGCTGCAGTGAGCCAAGATCGCACCACTGCACTCCAGCCTCGAACAGAGTGAGACTCTGCCTAAAAAAAAAAAAAAAAAAAAAAAAAAAAAAAAAGGCAAAACTAAGAGATTTTTTGAAAAGATAAAGTCAACAGCCCCTTACATAGACTAAAAAAATAAAAGAGAAGGTTTAAACAAATGAAAGAGGAAACATAAAATGGATTTCTCAGAAATAAAAAAGATCATAAGGGGCTATTATGACCATTATATGACAACAAATTAGATAACACAGAAGAAATGGGTAAATACCTAGAAACATGCAAACTACCAAGATTGAATCAAGAAGATGTAGAAAGCCTAAACAGACCAAGAAGAAGAAGATTACAGAAGTAATAAAAAACTTCTCAACAAAGAAAAGCCCAGGACTAGACAACTTCACAGTGAATTCTATCAAACATTCAAAGAGAAATTAATACCAATCTTTGTTAAATTCTTTCATAAAATAAGAGGGAATACTTCTAAATTTGTTTTATGAGGGTAGTATCACTCTGATATCAAAATCAAACAAAGACACTGCTAGAAAACTAGACCAATATCACTAAAAAACATGGATGCAAGAACCCTCAATAAAATACTAGCAAGGCAAATCCAACAGCACATCAAGAAAATTACCTATCGAGTACTCTGCTCATTACATGGGTGAGGTGACAGGTTCCATACTTCAAACCTTAGCATTCACAATACTCCCATGTAACAAATCTGCACATGTATCCCCTACATTTAAAGCGAAAGTTGAAGTATTTTCTTAAAAAATTACATACCATGATTAACTGAGATTTATTTCTGGGATGCGCAGTGGTTTGATATGCGCAAATCAATAATGTTATACACCACAGTAGCAGAATTAAAAATAGATGCAGAAAAGGCACCTGACAAAGTTCAACATCCATTCAGTTTACTCTCAAAACAATAAATACAGAAGGAACATACTCCAACATAATAAAGGTTATTTGCAAAATTCCCACAGCTAACATCATAATGGGGAAAAACCGGAAGTTTTTCTCGAAGATACAGTACAAGGCAAGGATGCCCACTCTCACCACTTCTATTCAAACATACATACAGGCTGGGCATTCTAAATCTGAAAATTCAAAATTCGAAATCCTCCAAAATTTGAAAGTTTTTGAGCAACAACATGAGGCTCTATGGAAATGCTCATTGAGGCATTTCAGATTTTGAATTTTCAGATTTAGGATACTCAACTGGTAGGTATTTTGCAAATATTCCAAACTCCAAAAAAAATCTGAAACATTTCTGATCCCAAACATTTCAGGTAAGGAATTCTCAACTTTTCTGGGAAGTCCTAGACAGTCAATTAGCCAAGCAAAAGAAATAAAAGGAGTGCAAATTGGAAAGGATGAAGTAAATGTCTCTGTTTGCAGATGACATGATCTGTATGTAGAAAACCCTAAAAACTCCATTAAAAAACTTTGTTAGAACTAAAAAACAAATTTAGTAAAGTTGCAGGATACAAAATTAACATACAAACGTCAGGAGCATTTCTTTGTATGAATAATAGATATCCCGAAAGAAAACCAGGAGAATGATCCCACCATGATAACATCAAAAAGAGTAAAATACTTAGGAATAAATAGCCAACATGGAGAAAGGGCTATCCACTAAAAAGTATAAAACATTGATTAAAAAAAAAAGACACTAAAGAGAAAATAAATGAAAAATCCTGTGTCATGGATTTGAAGAATATTGTTAAATGTCCAAGCTACCCAAAATGATCTACAGATTCAATGCAATCCCTATCAAACTTACAATGATATTTTTCACAGAAATAGAAAAAAAAAATCCTAAAACATTAAACCACAAAATGCTTTGAATAGCCAAAACAATCTTGAGAAAGAAGAACAAAGCTGCAGCCATCA